CTTACACTGCCTTTCTTCCTTGACTTGTTTGCTGAAGTTTAGAACTCACCCCCCCCCTCCCCAACAGGGGGCGTAAAAGCGACCGGGTGGAAAAGAGAAAGGCAGAAAGTAGGTCGCAGGTGAATGGCCCCTTGCTCCAGTGCGCAGAAAAAGGCACTCGTGTTTGTGCTACCTAGAAAGTAAACAGGTAAACACCCGCCAACTTAGAGGGCCACTTGTCCTGGAGTGGGGCCACTTAGCCTGTGTACATTCTCCTCCCCTCCTGGGCCTACGGGAGTTGTTCAGCTCAGTGGCCCTGCTCTCCAGTCGCCTGAGCGGGTGCGTCTGCTTCTTTCTGTCCTCGCCCCCACCCCCACCTCAGCTTCCCAAGGAAGATTCTCCTCTAGCTTCCGGGTAAAGGGGCCCTTCCTCCAGTCGCCCGCGGGTAACTCACCGAGAACCTCTTCTAAGTGTTGGAAGAATGAAAGCCTGAAGGTAATGACCAGGGACTCCCGGAAGAAGCCTCCAGCTGTCCTGTTGACCCCGGGGGAGTATGCAGTTGCTCCACCAAGTAGATGGCATACAGGTCTTCATCTATCCCAGGGCACTCTCCCTATAGAAAACTTCAGAGCCCACTTCAATTCCCTGCCTGAGTTTGCAACAGCAGAAGGCCCTTTGCAGAGACTCCCGGGCTGCCCTACTACGACAGCTGAATCCAAATACAAGCTTGATGGCACTCAAAACATAGTCCTCTCCTGGACTCATGACAGCCGGGAAAGAGTTTACTAGAGAATTCCTCGTAAGCAAGACTAGCGCAGTTCCTTGTAGAGTTGAAACTGATGCCAGCACAAGCAGGCACTTCGTAGTCTTGAACTGGCAAAGTCAGGGTGGCCGGGACTCTTTTGAGGAGGAAGGGGTAAACAACTGTTTCCTCTCAGCCTGCTGGATGTGTGGGATTTCGCCAGGAAGATGATCCAAAGGCCTAGTGGTGACTCTCTGGTAGGCATTTTGGGGTGTCCTTAGAAAACAATCGCTTGTTTAGTTTGGTTAGAAGAAATGCCTTTGCTTCTGACCCATCTATTCTTTTGGCCCCAAACCCAGCCCACGAAGTCTAGATGGTGCTGGCGCTTGAGCTAGGCCAGAGACTTGTCCCTGGCCTCCAGCAGAGCTGGTGTGGGCCTCCCTAAGTAGGCTGGCTACTCCGGGGGGACTTGCGTTTTATGATGTTCCTCTAACAAGCCCAGTTTCTCCCCCTCAATTACGAGCATCCCAGCGGGTTTCCTTCGTCTTTTCAATTGCAAATGTTAACGCTTTGGAAGCAGATGAGGAAACCCCAGGGGCCACGAAAGGGTGAAGAACTGTATTCCCGGGGTCCCCTCGGAAAGGACTGGAGGAGCACGACTTGCTGTCACGCTGAAGGCAAGGCCCGAGTTTCTCTGGCCCTCCTAGCCTAGCTGTCGGGTGCCCCCAGACCTGCAAAACCCGGTTCAAAGGATGAGAGTGGAGCTGGAGGGGGGGAGCCAAGTGACTGTCTGAGTTGGGGGGCAGGGAGGACAGACCCTCCCGTACTCCCGAAAAGGAGCTTGTGGGTTGAGCTGCCTTCTGATTGCCTTTAACTGAGACCCAAGAGTAGGTCTTGGTGAACCTACTGTCAGGGACAGCCTCTATAAACCTTTGCTGCCCCAGTGAACTGGGGCTGAAGGGTGTCAGTCTCAAAGCACCAAAGCCAGCATTTCCTCCCCACCAGTAATTCCCAGGACTCCCTTAGGAAAATGAACAACTTTCTGGTTCATTTTGCAGGGAAGGGGACATAGTCAATAGTCACTGATTACTTCTGAGAAGAAAGGCTTTACTATGCCTAGGGAAAGGGAGAGCAAAGTTGAGAAGTATAGAGAACTAAGTGGTGGTTCTAAGACCAAGGAAATAGACAGGCAGGCTCTGGGTGGCTCTCAGGGAAACACCCACACCAAAGACTTAACCATGGCTCTGAGGCTCTGAGATTGTCCACAAGAGACTTTTTTTTTTTTTTTTTTTGCCAAAGGACCCCTTTTCCACACAGTCCAAGAATTGGCCTGTATCCCAAGCTGTACTGTATCCCCATATCTCATCCTTTTAGATGCTCCCTGGTCTCCAAGGAAGTCCCCTCTTGTAAGATAGAAGAATAAGAGGAACAAAGAGAGAGATTTGGGGTTTTTGTTTTGTTTTGTTTTGGTTTTGTTTTCCCCTGCAATGTTTGAGTTAAGAAACTATTTATTTCTCCCAGTATTTATTTAGCCACGGAGTAATAACAGTGTGGTAAGCCCACCCTGCCCCTGGATTTAAGTTGGGTTCTTCCCCACTTCTGGAAAGCTGACTTTTCTCCTCCCACACCGCCAGGCAGTCAGCCCTGGGCTGAAAGAAGGGAGGAAGAGAGGCAACAAGCTCGGAAGCTGGGAAAGGAGCTGGAAACGGAGAAGGGGGTGGGGGTGGGGGAGACACAGAAAGTAATAAGTTTGAGGAACACGTTTCAAACCAGATACTAATTCTTGCAAGGGGGAAAAAAGAGGAAGAAAGGAGAAAAGAAAAACTAGGAGAAAGAGAAATGGGGAACGTCGACATGAAGGGGTTTCCTTAATATTGTGGACGGATTCAGAAATGAATGAAGAGATAGTCCATTGAAAAGGGTTGAATGCCATGACAACTAGGGACAACCTTAGATTTATTCCAAACAGTTAGGACACATTGAAAGAGAGCGTCAATCATGTATTATTTCGCCACTGAAATAAATGCAAAAACCGGGCCTGGACAAAGGCTTCCAACGGGAGCGGGACATTTGTCTACATTTCGCTCATTGTCCGCAGCTTAGCAATCGGTTTGTATTTGTGTTTGCCCGGGTCCGACCACCCAGGACGCGCCGACGTGGGGCTAGCTCCAACCTGGGCCATTGTCACCCACGTCACATACTGGGGGCGAGGCAGCAAGAGCAGCAGAAAGCCGCTGAGCAGCTCGGAGAGAGGCGCTGTCACAAGGCTCTGGGAACCCGGGGGTGGTGGGGGCGCCGCCGCGGCCCAAGCAGCTGTGCGCGCTTGGAGGATTCGGCTCCCGAGCACTCTGCTTTCCTTGGGCTAAGGCATTGAAACAGGGACAGTAGGAAAGAAAAGACCCAAGCCTGGTCTTCTCTGGCTCCCTCCACCTCGAGGCTAAGCACACTCCTGACGCTAGATGGGGTGGACAAGCAGTAGGTAGCAAACTTCCTTCCCAGCCCCAAGACTTCTGAACTTAAATTGGATGAAGAGCAGCGTTTTCTTTCCCAGCTTAGAGAAGTTCAGTTTCCAGGTTTGAAAGAGGTTATTAGAAAGTTCACACTAACCTAATGCCAGCTGGGAGCCTGGAGTGTGACCCTCCCCAAGCACACTCCCCGAGGAGAGCAAAAACATGGAGAAATTAACGGATTTGTAAGGAGAAAACCTAGCAACAACCACTAACTCAACCTCCTCTCTGTGGCTTTCTGCGTCCTTACCCGGATCAGAGAACACACACACACACACACACACACACACACACACACACACACACACACACACACACAAATCCGGCCGCTTCACCTTTAGCTGAAAGCTGCCGTAGTCGAGGGCCAGAGAGGCCAGGCTTCTGAAAGGTAGAAAGGAACTAACTGAGGCCCTTGGCTCTCCCCTCCACCCGGCGGAAGCCAGAGGCTGAGGCTGTGGGGCTCAGGTCCGAACCCGGCCACAGACAGAGGCAGGCTCCCACCCCTCCCTTCCCTGGACCGCCCGCAGAGCAGAAAGTGAACGACTGTCCTCCTCTGCTGCAAGGAAATTGGGGACGGGGGGGGGGAGGATAAATGAGTCTTTAGCAAATAAAGGGCCATCTGAGGTGGGTGTGCTCCTCACTGGTGGCTCTGGCAGGTCCAAGCCTATTCCTCTCCTGGGTTTCCAGCTCTTTCGCGGTTAACTAGAATCAATTACTTGACTTGTCATTTCTAGTACTCATCCTTAAGCTTCAACCAAAATATTGACCTAGGAGGCTTACAGAAGTTGGGCTCTTGCCATTTGAACCGGATCTTGTTTAGGGAACCGCCAGCGATGGGAAGGGGAGATTTCAGCGGCTCAGGCTTCACCCCTCCCCCTTTTCCAAAGGCTCCACAAATCGCCAATTTTCTGGCTAGCTGGGGTGGGGGGTGTGCACCGGGCGTGGGGAGGTAGGAACCGGTGAATGTTACAGAGAATTCTTTTTTCCCTCCTCCTCCCTCCTGGTTTGTTTTCTTTCTCACCCCAGCGCCCCCACCCCACCCCACCCCACCTCCTCCCGCCTTAAGATGCAATTTGTTAAAACGGCCCTTTCAAGTGTGTGGACTCGCGAGCGACGCAGTGGCCCTTTGTATGTAAATACTGAGGGAGGAAAAAAAGCTCTCCCCATCTTTGCAATTAATTGACACGTTACACCTCTCATCTTGCTCTAGAGGGCCGTTGGCTGGGAGCGCAGAGCTCCCCAAAACCCACAATTTCACATCTGCAAATACTGTCTTCATCCACTTGACTCCCAAGACCCGCCCACACGTGGCCAACCTTTGCGTTTTTAATGTCTCTTCCCCCTTTTTTTCACCCCTCTCTCGCTCCCTCGATCCCCCTCCCTCCCTCCCTCCCTTCCTCTTTCTCCCCCTCCCCCCTCCCCAGGTTCGTGAGTGGAGCCCAGCCTTATATGGACTGATCGCTCGGGCAATGGCCCATTTTTTCCTCGCCACCAGCCGCCACCGCGCGCGGAGCGGCCGCCCGAGCCCGAGCTGACGGCACCTTGGCACCCCTCCTGGAGTTACAAACTGAGGCCGCGCGGCGCTGGGCGCGCAGGCCGCCAGTCACTGCGCGCATTTCCGCGTGCATTCGGAGAAGAGAGAGGCGCCGGGTGGGCTTTATTATTTTTTCCTCTTCCCTTTTCCCACAGTGTCCTCCTCTCATTTTAAATAATAATTATCCCAATAATTAAAACCCATCCCCCTCCCCCCATTCCTTCCCTTAACCCCCTCCCCCCGCCCGCCCGGGCTGGGGAGCGCTACGAATTGACCAAGTGAAGCTACAACTTTGCGGCATAAATTGCGGGGTCGGAACCATGTCGCTGACCAACACAAAGACGGGGTTTTCAGTCAAGGACATCTTGGACCTTCCGGACACCAACGATGAGGAAGGCTCTGTGGCCGAAGGGCCGGAGGAGGAAAGCGAAGGGCCGGAGCCCGCCAAGAGGGCCGGGCCGCTGGGGCAGGGCGCCCTGGACGCGGTGCAGAGCCTGCCCCTTAAGAGCCCTTTCTACGACAGCAACGACAACCCCTACACTCGCTGGCTGGCCAGCACCGAGGGCCTCCAGTACTCCCGTAAGTAGCGAAACTTGGCCGCAAGAGCTGTGGATGACTCCATTGCTCAGGCAGTAGCCCGGGTGGACGCTGGGAGTTAAGGGGAAGAAGCCATTTAAGGTCCAAGTCCCCACCCCAGATCCCTAGATGTTGAAACATTTGCTTAGAATGCCCTTTTATAACCTCACTAGCCATCCGTCCCTGGTCCCTGCAAAATACTTGAAGTCGTATTTTTTTTCACGTGAGAAATTAAAGCAGAGGCCAGAGATGCTTTCTAAGGGCTGATTAGAGATGTCAACCAGACGGATGGCTCTGACCGGAGTCTTTTGGATTCAGATGGCCGAGAGGATTTGGCTCTGCTCCCTAGAGCTAGCCAGCGGTCAGGGTCCGGCTAGCGGTGGAGGATGGAGAAGGCTTCAGGTTTAAGCAGCTCATCCTGGCCCTGCATGATTATAAAGCAACTATGGTGCAAGCGGCAGTGTGTGTGTGTGTGTGTGTGTGTGTGTGTGTGTGTGTGTGTGTGTGTGTGTGTGTGTGTGTGTGTGTAGAAAGCCGGAAAGCAAAAGCGAAAGCCCCCCAAACCTGCTTTACCGCGCCAAGCCCATCAATGCAGGGATTGTGAGGTTTTCCTTTTAAAAATCCGCCCACGTCTCTCCAGAGAGGAAACGGTTTAAGGGGGCCGGAGCCCTTAACCCTCAATAACCGTCCACACGCTACCCCGCACTAAATTCTCCTCATAGTGTGTGAACCCCTAGAAACTTGAACCTCAGAGCCCCCCACTGCGCAGACTCTCCTCTGAACCCTAGCGGACCCCGACGGTTTCCTCCGGCGCGGAGCCGGGCGGGCATTTCCGCAAAGGCAGTGGGTCTGGGATGTCCAGGGCCACAGGCCCACGGAAGATCCCTGGGGCTCCGGGTGGCCCAGGTGGCACTCGGCCTCCAGGCGCCTGATGCGCTTCTCTTCCCCCACCCCACCCAGTGCACGGGCTAGCGGCCAGCGCTCCCCCCCAAGACTCCAGCTCCAAGTCCCCAGAGCCCTCGGCTGACGAGTCACCGGACAATGACAAGGAGACCACGGGCGGCGGGGGGGACGCAGGCAAGAAGCGAAAGCGCCGAGTTCTCTTCTCCAAAGCGCAGACCTATGAGCTGGAGCGGCGCTTCCGGCAACAGCGGTACCTGTCGGCTCCGGAGCGCGAGCACCTGGCCAGCCTCATCCGCCTCACTCCTACGCAGGTCAAGATCTGGTTCCAGAACCATCGCTACAAGATGAAGCGCGCCCGGGCCGAGAAAGGTATGGAGGTGACACCCCTGCCCTCGCCGCGCCGTGTGGCAGTGCCGGTGTTGGTCAGGGACGGCAAACCGTGCCACGCGCTCAAAGCCCAGGACCTGGCAGCCGCCACCTTCCAGGCAGGCATCCCCTTTTCCGCCTACAGCGCGCAGTCGCTGCAGCACATGCAGTACAACGCCCAATACAGCTCGGCCAGCACCCCCCAGTACCCGACAGCACACCCCCTGGTCCAGGCCCAGCAGTGGACTTGGTGAGCGCCGCCCCTCCAAGACTCGAGGCCGTAGGCCCTGGCCCCACCCCAGCGGCGGCGGTGGCGAGGAGGACTCGATCCTTACCACAGTTATTATTATTATTATTATAATTATTATTGTAGAGTCGAGCCGATGCTCGACTCAGTTGAGGAGGTACCGGGAGGTTGCCGGTTCCTCCTCAGAATGGCAGATTCCAGCTACTGACTTCTGCCCCATCCCTCTCTCCTTTGAACCTTTGGAGAAGGTAGAACTCTAAATCGTGTTTACAGAATGTTTGCGCAGCTTCGCTTCTTTGCCTCTCCCTGAGGGGACCAAACTATCCCAACGTTAACGTCGTCACTTGAAAAGAGAAAGGACCAGCCCCCATCCCCGCACCGCTTTCGTGAATTTTGTAAAATATGTTTGTGTGAGTAGCGATGTTGTCAGCCCTCTTACGCAAGTGGAGAACACTTTAAAATATAGATGATTTCTTTTTTATATAAGAAAATGCTAAATATTTATGGCCATGTTCACGTTCTGACAACTGGTGGCAGATTTCGCTCTTCGTTGTAAATATTGCTGGTGATCGTTGCCAAATGACCTTCTGGATAGGTCTGTAACCCCATCAGACCTAACTCTCTTTGTTGTTTGTTTTGGATGGGTTATGTTTGAGTTGCCTCCGTTTTTTTTTTAATTTTCTTCTTGTTTTTAATTTGTTCAGTGAAAACATTTTTTCAACTATAAAAAAGAAAAATATGTGTAGGCGAGACACACCCGGCCCTATTTTTCCGGATCCTGAGCCCCGGAGCTTGGAACTTAGAAGTTCCACGTGGTTCCCCAAGAGCGCCGGGCGCTGAAAGCTTTCAATTTTTTTAAATAAGAATTTTAATAAAAATCCTGTGTTTAAAAAAAAAAAAGCAAGCCCAGTTATCAGGTTTGTTTGACTTTGTCTCCCTGCGGAGGTGGGGGTTAGTATTAAGTCTGGAGCCTGGACAGGCTGTATTCTGGAGTGGTACTGGAGTTTCCTCTCCCAGTCCAGGGGCCGCGGGTACCCAGACACTGGAAAAGCACACGGGATAGGCCTCTTCGGACAAACTGGACAGTCAATGCACGACATGGGCAGCTTGGCCTTCAGCCTGCTAGCCCGTGTCCAATGTCCTTGTTGGCTCTGGCACTCGAGGGCCTCTGTGTGCTCTCTGAATCCCCAACAGGGGGAGGAAAAGTGACTTTTGGTAACGCCAAACAAGGAGAGCAAGCCCCCCTTGCTCGCCCAAATCTATGAGTGGCTCCTTCAGCCTGAAAAGCTGTTGAAGCCACTACACTCGATGGCTTTCACTTTGTTGCATTTGATTTACCCCTTGCTAAGGGGGGGGGGTTGGGTGTCTGAGGTTGAGTCTGATGGCTTTCTCTTTACTTTGCACCTCTTTTTCAATATCTGTGTACCAAGTTGAGGCCTAGCTGACCTTTTCAAGGCCTAGGCACCAGGGTGAGGTGTGGCAGAGCTAAGATTGGGCCTTTTAAGGCTTTTGCCTGTCACTAGCTGGGTCTTGGGCATGCACAACCAGGTATTGCTGGTTCTTGCTCAACTCTTTAGTTCAGGGATCCAGGGAAGGGAACTACTGGAGATCCTACCCAATCCAGCCTTCTCTGTACTGATGCCCCATCTTTTCCATACCTCTCGCCTGGTGGAGCAGGGTCTTATCACTCTAGTTCTTGGTTTCTTGGATGTAGCTCTGGGTGAATAGTTTATAAGTAGAGGTTGGACCAGAGCTCTGGTAGGAGAACAGACACAGTCCCTAGAGGTTGAATCTTTCCTTCTTCCACTTAGAACTGAACTAGCCACTTAATGCTGGAGCACTTGGTCCTGAGAGAGAGCATCTCAGGGAGCCAGGCAGACTCATGATCACACACCGTTCTAGTCTGTCTCACTCCTGGCTCCAGGAGTCAGAATCCCACTCTCACCCCAACAATCGCTGAGATGTTGGAGCTTGGAAGTCAGTCTATTTGGATATATCTCCTCTGGAGCTCCAGAGTAGAGGCTGGGGGCTAGGAGGAGGCAGGCAAAAGGAGCCATCCCAGTTGAATTTTTCCCCTCTCTCTCCAGTTGGTGATCAGATTTAATTCAATATCTAGAGCAAACATGATTATCCTTGTGACCAAATCTGCACAACGCACCCAGGGACGTGATTACACTTTATTCCCCCTTGTGCACACACACCCGCATCTCTGAGGGCACCGGAGTCTTTCTAATACCCCACTACAGGTCCTTTCTCATCTCCGGTTCAACTCTGGGACAAGGACGGTTTTCCTAAATGCTGAAAAGTCTCCCTTTGTTCTATGAAGAAGCTTGGAAACTGTGGGGTTTTGTTTTGCTGTTTGTAAAAGCCAGAGAATTCACTGCCTATCGTTTGCTGTGCAATATGAAAGGCAGATGCCCAACCTGCCCTGAAACGAACCACTCATTATCCCATGTGCAATTTTTCCTAAGCCCTAGGCCTTCGAAGTTGTCGGGAGGCTTACTGGGCAGCCCTGGAGGGGTGAGTTTTAAGTGTTCGAAGCCCAGTCTTTCTGCAGCAAACAATCACAAGAGCCTCTCCGACCTGACCTTCAAGGGAGTATGAAGGCCCAAACTCTTGCAGGTTTCCACTGCCTGACAGGTTAAGGCCCAAAGGCCTGTGCTCTCAGTAGGAGCTCTCACCAGTCTCCGGAGGTGGGCCGTGTGCCCGCCCCTCTCTGTCTTCGGGTCCCCAAGGAGTCAATAAAAGAGCCTGTGGAGCCCTGTGTGGCCCTAACCCTAGCGCCCTGGGAGCGCACCCCGCGCGGGGTCCGCTTCGGCAGTCTATCTTCGCCCAATCTACAGAGGGCGGCACAAAACCGCACAATGGGAAAGCTGGGAGCTGGAGATGTTAGAGGCGTGCATATTAAAAAGGGACAGAGAAAGGATCGCAGAGGACAGAGAGGGGAAGAGAGAGAAAGCCCCCCCAACCCCCCACCCGCACCATTCAGCGCGCTTATCGCGGGCAGTGAATCCCGGAGTCAGGCAGAAGTCTCCTTGGGGTTTTGTTGGGCCTGTCACTGGGTCCCTTTGTCATCCGCGGACTCCATGCTGGATTCCATATGGCCAGCTGGGCCGAGGGAGCGCGAGGAGGGACCCGCACAAAACCCAAATTGTGTCCCGCTTTCAAACCCTGTATTGTTGTCTGTGAAAGGAAGACGCATTAAAAATTCGTGCTATATCTATTGGGGAGGAGGATGGAGGAGGGGAAAAAAGCCACCCTGTCTTTGATGGCTTCAGAGGGCACTTGCCCTGCCTAGGCCCCATGACACACAGTCTCTCTCTCTCTCTCTCTCTCTCTCTCTCTCTCTCCACACACACACACACACACACACACACACACACACACACACACACACGGTTTGGGCCCCTGGTGTGCACTGTATCTGAGAAGACAGGATCGCACTGGCAAGGTATTCCATGCTGAAGCCATTGAACAGGCCTGCCTGAGGTGCTCAGGGCCCAGTATTCTCTGACTTTCCTAGGGCTGTGCACTTCAGGGTCCATGAAAACCTAGTCCCCTGTGTTCATATACTCACGCCCTGGTAGTGAGAGGGGCCTCTCACATAGTTCTGGAAAGACCCAAGAGGCCTAGCATCCCAGGTAGCTACTCAGGCCAGCTGAAATGCAGCCACAGGCAGTTGCAGGGCACATTGCCTCAGTCAAAACTGCTTGATGACCAAAGCCAGCTAAGGGCATCTCCTTACTTGAACTGGTATCTTAGTGCTCGAGAGAGCCAGGTCAGAAACTTCACAGTCTTCACCTAAAGAGGCCCTCTCCTTAATTCTCAAGTGTCTCCTGCACACAGCAGTGCCTAGAAGGAACACACCCAGGATAGCCTTCCCTAAGCCCCCCCCCCAAACATTACCCAAATAAGCAGCATATTTTCTAATCAAAATGTGTTCAGACTGGGTTTTGGAAATAAAATAGAAGGCAGCCATTCTTCTCTGGGGGAAAGCTGGACCTTAATGAGCACCAGTAAACTGATGAAAATGTCAATTTACCTGAAGTTCTGTTCTCCTCTCTACTTCTGTGCGTAGAACCCCCATCTTAGTAAATAACTCCACAGAGTGAGCACCCACCCGCTTCTTAACACTCCCTGCTCCCGCCCGGGAAATAACTTATTTTCCTTACCTATTGACTGTTGGGCTTAGTTGAGACCTGGTGTGGATTTCTCCAGCCTTTTCAAGAGCCTGGTCATTGAAAAGCTAATCCAATATTTGCGGAGCATAAGGACATTTCTCAAATGTATTTATTAAGGCCCATCGTTTAGTAATTACTTGGATGGAAGACAAGGGCCAGGAAAAGAGCTTTGAGGTGCCCTAGACCCCTGCAAGGAGGGGTGGTTTCTCTCCACCTGGAACTTAGAAGCTGGGTGCAAACTTGCCGATACTGGCGTTTCCCTCCCAGTGCTTAAGTGGCACTGGATTAGATATTGTGTTGGGTGGTATTTCAGGAAATATGTACTTGTGGCTTCCCGAGAGGCCAGGCTCAGTGACACTCTAAACCTCGTCGATATATCATCTTTTATCCAGGATCTGCAAATAAACCCTGATCCCCTCGGAGCATTATAGCTGCTGCTATCTCTCAAGGAAGCGATCTGAGTTTTATTGCTTTCACCAACGCCCCAACACACACACACACACACACACACACACACACACACACACACACACACACACACACGAGTCTGGATTTTAAAAGCCTCTATTTTTTTCCCCTCCCAGGGCATCGTTATTAAAAGAGACGAATAGGTCTCAGCGCCGCCAACAGAGCAAATATGGAAAAGCGGTCTTGTAAGTGAATTTCTCCTCTGCTCGGCGAACCACGTGGGGTGGGAAAGCTAGGATTTTGCGCGCCGCCGCTAGGAGGCGCCAGAGCGCTTTTCTCCTGAGAGTAGCTTAGGGACCCACGGAGTCCCTCTCTGTCCCAGGAACTCAGCCAGATGCAGTTCCACTCCCGGAGACCCCCAGATGCCCTCGACCAAAGCACAGTTTCATACTCAAGCCCGCTAAACGGGCAGACCAGCGAGGAGTCCGGCTCGGAATTAGAGCTGAGTCTGACCATGGGAGCCCCTGCTTATCCTCACTTGTCTGGGTGGCCTAGCAAGTTAG